TTAAATGCCTGGGTGCTGTGATGCTTGCTTCTTGCAACGACGTCCTCTTGTCAGTTGCGTCACCTCCTCTCTCGGGCTCCAAAACCCTGTCTTCGCTCCCCTGGTCTTCATGTGGTCGTGTTTATCGACTAAATACTAAATAGTAAATACAGACTTAATTCTCAGACAAAAACGGTGTAGCGGTTCGGCAAGGATCAACTAAATACAAAGTTAAGTCTTCGAGAAAAAAAGGGCGACGGGTACTCTGTCTGTCTGTCTGTGTTTTCTTCTGCCTGCGTTTAGTTACATACCGGTATCGCCCCTCGTCCAGTTGTGCCTTTGCAGCTTCAGTTTTTTAACTTTTTTTCTAACCACCTTCTTCCTCTCGCTGTTCCATACCATCAGCAAAGTCATCTTGGTCCTGTCGAGTTGCTGTGCGGCAGTCCCTCTTCCAAAACTCCACAGATTCTCTTCCTTTTTTTTTCCCCTTTTTTTTTGCAAAGGAAAAAACAAAAGAATGGGAAAAAAAAAGACGTTGTGAAAGGATTTCATGTGTTTCAGCGTCCAAGTGCCCCCCCCCGTTCCCATCCTTAGCTCCAGAGTCCCATGAACCCCAGTCCCATCCAGTACGTCCTGTAGTCCCCGTCCACATGGTAGGTCCGTTACGTTAGGCAACCCGGTGGGTCGGGTTACTTACTGGTCGCCGGTTGTTTGTCGTCTGTTGGTCTGTCAGACCAGTCACGGCTCGGTCCCGAGAAAGACCGTGAGAACACCAGTACCAGTCCCAAAAAGTCCCAAGATCGGGAACTTGAGCAAGTACGAAAGTCTGGCGGCAGCAAAGCATTAAGCTAACTTAAACACAATTTTCATTTGTGCCCGCTGTGGAAGCGCTGTTGCACGCCTGTGCAGTCAAACAGCGAGTAAGGCTGGGAATAGTCAGCAATCGATGGCACCCGGCCACATAGCCTCTTCTGCTTATGTAGCCAGAGTATCAAACAGAAACCCCCAAGAAGAGTCGAGCATTTCTGACAAAATCCACGGTGTGGCTGGGTTTACTGAGTGTTTTCGAAATTTGATGACAATTCTACTGCTGATCATCAGGGGTTGCATAGCTACCGACCACCGGCCCCGACCGCCGACCGTATTGCAGCCGGCCAGTAGGGCTGACCGGTCGGCGGTCTGCCGACCAGTCAGAAAACAGTCGTCCCGACGTCCACTGATTTTTTTCAAATGTGAGTTGGGATCTGTACTGCGCTTGCTGAGTACAGCTCAAATCCACTGAGAAACTTTTGGGGATTCGGGGGGGGTGTGGTATTAGCGGGTATAGGGTGGTATAGGGGGTATTGGGGGGGTGGGTATGAGGGTGTTGGGGGTTTTAAGAGCGTGTATGGGCGTATACGGGACGGGCATGGGGTTGTTGGTGGGGTTATTGGGGGTTCTGGACCTTTTTTTTTTTTTTTTTTTTTGCAGGGTTCCTACGACCCCGACCGGTAGGTGCCACCGGTCGGCTGGTCGGCATCCGACCAGTCAAGGGGCGCCGACCGTCGCTGGGGTATGCAACACTGCTGCTCATCGATAATCCTTTTACCACTGCTGGCATTGAAACCAAGGCAACCTGTGCGCTAAGGAGTTAACCGCGTGCTGGTCTGCCATTCACAAGCCAAAAGAAAGTCGTGAAGCAGGTCGCATATCATATCAAGGAATTGAAGCGGCGCGTCATGCCATCACCAGGAAATTTCGGGTTATTTTACAAGCACCCCCCTCTCTAATCTATTTTATGAGCACCCCCCTCTCTGGTCAACACAGCTACTGCAGTTTCTGATAATGACGGGTGGTCAACCTAGGACCTGCCAACTATGGCACTTAGTCTCGTAGGCTCCCCACATGCTGGTCATTACCAGTCCTTGGGGGGTGTCCCCTGCAGCTACTTGACTAAGATTGCCCTGGCGAGTTGATCTACCTGTGTACGCACGTGCAATCCTAGCCGACCAACCTGAGACCTATTTACATCAACACGAATCGACAAGTGCAGCGTGAGTCCAGGAAAGACCAGCAACTGCAACATCAACGACAACATGCATGCCCATCAAAGGCTAGGATTGAAGACACTCTTCGCTGCAGGCTTGAAGATGCTCCACATCGCTTCAGGTAAGCCTTCCTTCTTCGCTGACCTTTTCTCATTTGGTCCTGTCCAACCCTCGTCACACCGGTCAATTCCTCATGCCGCCGCTTTGCATCACCCGCCGGCTTGCAAGCGCGGAGCGCCGGTCAGATGCCCTTGCCGTAGCCTGGTTGAGACCTGAACCAGCGCCGAAAGCGGCGAAAGGCACATGGGTTGAGTAGAGTTGGGGTACACTAGGTCATGGATGTACTGCGTGCCGGGGTGGGGTGATATGTCGCTCAAGGGGTTTCCCTTTCATCCCAGCACTCTATTCCTATTGGCCAAGTGTTCTGCCTCTTTGGTGGAAGGCTGTATTCAATTCCTCGCGGGTTCATCTTGGGACTTCTTGTGTATATGCAAGCACCCGCCAGCCTCCGTAAATACTAGCTTCTCCTTCGATCACCCAGCAAGAAGATGACGCCAGTCCTTCTCTGTTACCAATTGCAACGATCTCAACAAGTTCACACTTAATCAAATCCCACTTCACACATGAGCTGCAAAGCAACACGATATGAAAACACAGCGGAAGCAAAGTCTCTTGTATGTTCAACAGCGGCTATGGCCGCCTTCCTCGTCAGCAAGGCAACTCCATCTCTCTCTCTCTCTCTCTCTCTCTCTCTCTCTCTCTCTCTCTCTCTCGCGCGCGCGCGACCTAAGCTATGGGCGCTGGGTGTGGGGCGGCGTCCCTGCTTGACTCTCCCTCAGCCTCACTTGATGCTTGCACACACATGACTGCAGCAGTGCTTCTTCGGCAGACTCAACTGGAAATTGTGTCGTTGTCTGGCTGCTGTCGAACTTTTGTACTTGTTGCAGCTCCCAATATTGGATTTCTCCGGAGCGGTGGCGATCCCTGACTTGCTGGCACGGTTGCCTTGACGTTTCCGGTAGTTACCGGGCTTTCACGGGACTGAGCTGCTATTTTTTTAACTTCGCCTGCCGGTGGGACTGAGAAAGCCTAGCGATCTACCGCCATACCTGTACGGATGGACCTACGGGACCCTACGGCGGCTACCATACACTTGGCCTGCCGGTTGGGACTATAATACACAGGACACGGGACACTTGACCTTCGGGTACCGGAGATGAGACTTGGGCTCAGAATTGTGTGACATCCTTTCAAACCATTTAATTGCGTGAATTGTTGAGTTCTTCTCAGAAAGCGTAATGGGAAAAAAAAATAAAAAATCTAAAAACTTAGTAAAAGTAAATTTTTTTTTTTTTTTTTCAATATCCCCGATTCCCCGTCTGTTCATAAATGTCGATTGCAATGATCACCTATTGGATGGACTAGTAAGCCGAAGTAACAAATTACTTTGGAAGTTTGGAGTTTGAAATTTTGAACTACTAAAGAGAGAAAAAATTTCAAAAAAATCAAGTTCGTTCAAATAACCAATATACATTCATTCTGGTTTTAGACTACAGGGCACTTTAGGAGCTTCACATTTCTGGTTTCAGACTACTGCAATCAGACTTGACTCTGGACTTGCTTGCAACATGCACACTTGAGAACCGATGGCAAAATCGAACTCTTCCAACTCAGAAACAATAATAAACTTGTACTACTCTCAGTCCGAATCAACTGTACAACTTGCGGCTATGGCCGCCGAACACAGTCTCTACCACCAGCCTCACTTCCCCACACTCTGGCATGCACGCACGTACGAGGATCACCCTGAATGTCCACGCTGCACAGCCACTCACACTCTGTACACTCTGTCTACACCAACAGCTGGGCGGCTATGGCCGCCGTCGTCTTCCTCCTTCTAGCTATGGCGCCGGTGTCTCCCTCACTGGTTCGCTATGGCCGCTGTCTTCTTCACAGCCCACTTCCTCTCCGGGCACCTGCAGACCTCCATGCACAAGATACCAAGGCAGCTCTTCCGCATGGCTCACAGGCAAATGCGTGAATGGCTGGACGCTGCCTCTTTATTTATACTTCCTTCAGAGGTACCCGGGCCCTGCCTCAAAACGTGTGGGCCTGGGCCAAAACGTGCGACCCAGGGAAGCTTCCAGACGTTTGGCCTTCTGGCCAAAACGTGTGGAACCCACAGCGTGGTCCAGAACCTTCCCCCACGTGCAGCCACTACCCCTGGTACCTGCTGACTGGACTGGCCTACAGGGACCTACGACCTTCAAGAGCCTACAGACTTACAAACAGACTCTACGCCTCAGTAGACTCAGATAGAGACTTCTAGAACAGACCTTCCTAAGCCTAGTAATGGTAACAGACCTAACTCCTAATCTACAGACCTAGGGATCGAGTCTTACACAGATCGCTGGGCCTAGGTACAAGGTAAAGGGTAGGTCTAGGGATCAAATCTCACTCAGCACACAGGGTCAATATACAGGGTTTGGGCACAGGTCTAGGGATCGAATCTCTGTCTCTGCAAATGTCGGGTCTGCTGGGTGAAACCATTTCACTACAGGGAACTTTAGGAAGTTTAGGTAAATTAGTAAGATTACTAAATTGCATATCTCCCATAGGATTGCCGCAAAAAAATATGGGATCTAGATTCCGGAGGAAATTTTATAAAATCTCATCCCGGCGACGAAGTATTGCTACTTGGTTCTCCATCGTTCCCCGCCCCGCCCCTTTTCCCCCCGAAGTACATCTTCCAGGCCTTTGTGACAATGAGAAAGCCAAAAACTTGAAATTGGTAAGCAGCAAAGAAAACAAAAAATTATGAAAAAGGAAAGCACTTGAAAGGCAGAACCCGCAATCTTCGACCAGCATCCTTTGGGAGGGACATCCGTCAAAATTGGAATGACACAGAGGATGAAGATTATTGATAGCAAGGTCCCTGCACAAGGATGACACACACAGAAATCGAGGGGGGGGGGGGGRGGGAATGGGGGGAAGCATTCTTTGAACAACGAAAAATACAGAAAAAAATTCAAAAAAAGCAACTACCAGGCTACCAGCTGAAAATACACATCTGTGGATTACCATAGCACCTTACAGCAAGGTTGTGGGAATCATATAACACTGAAAATATGTGAAACAGGATGATAGGACAGTGAAGATTGAGGAATGAGAGGGGAGAGGGGGGAGAGAGGGAGGGGGGGGGGGGACAACACGAGTGAGGAGGGGTTTGCAAGAGGAGCGAGAGAGAGGGGTGGCAAGGCAAGGGAAGGCTTAGCGCAAAGGCGGTGAAATTAAGGAGGAAAAGAAGATAGACAAATGAAGAGTATGATGGAAGTATCGAGAGTAACCATCATGATCACCACCTGAACACTAACGAGACACAAGCATGGTGCCCATGGTAGGTTCTATCAGAAGATTCCGCACGCTATGCATGTAATCTCGTTTGCGGGGGGTGAAGGCTTGCATGATACTCCAAACATGTGGGAACGGCTTCTTCTTCTTCTTTCTTCCTTCTTCTTTCTTCCTTCTTCTTCTTTTGTAAAAGGGGTTGCACTAAGGACAACCGCCTGGACACTAAGGAGGCGACACGAGCATGGTGCCCATGGCGGCTTCCATCAGAACGCCATGTAATATGTATGTAATATCGTTTGCGGCAATGAAGCCTTGCATGATGCTCCAGACATGTGTGAATAGCTTCTTCTTCTTCTTCGTCTTTCGTCTTCTTTTTTCTTCTTCTTTCTTCTTCGTCGTCTTTCTTCTTCTCCTTTTTTTTTTCTTCTTCTTTCTTCTTCTTCGTCTTTTTCTTTCTTCTTCTCCGTCGTCTATCTTCTTCTTCGTCGTCTTTCTTCTTCCTTTTTTCTTCTTCTTCTTCTTCTTCTTCTTCTTCTTCTTCTTCTTCTTCTTCTTCGTCGTCGTCGTCATCGTCGTCGTCGTCGTCGTTGTCGTCTACAAAAGGGGTTGCACTAAGGACAATGCAATGATTGGGAATGGGACCACAAAGGCGGCGCTTACCTTGCTGTGCAGACCGGTAACCGGAGCAGAAGTTGACTGGATGCCCCTTTGGTTTTGCATCTGGTGATGCTTCCTTCAGTGTCAGATTAGACGACCCTTCCTCGCCCTGCACCATATACAAGAGAATTATTAGACCCCCAGCATGAGACCCCATTTTCCCTATATAATGGATTCAATCCTCCAAGTTACAGTCTTACCGTAGATCGAAGTCCAGTTGACTTTTAGAGGACTCCATAATAGTCCACATTAATGCATTTTGAACGACGCAATCCTTCAACTCCGTTGATCAACCCTTGCCCTGGCAAAAGCTTCTTGTTCTTCCTTCTCCTCCTGTTATTGTTGTCATCATGATAATTTCTATCAAGCATTGGTGGTGGCGGTTGTCGTGGTCGCGGTCGCGGTCGTTGCGATGTTCTTGTTACTGGCGTGTTTGTCGTTGTTGTCGAGCTTCAGTTTCCACTTTCGAGCCCTGCTGCCAAAGCCTAGCCCTCATCCCCTGAACACAAACCCTAAATAATAAACATTTAAACGTTAAAAGTTAATAAAACTCAAAGACTGGTGCGTCTGGTGTCGCTTTGGGCGTTTCTCAACCACCCCTATCCCGACCCTGGTTAGTAGTCATGGGATGGCGACCCATAGGCGACACAACCAATTGCTCTGACAAACTACAGGCTGAGCTCGCCAGAAAGTTTTGCAGCCCGCATTGTTGGTCAGACAGCTGCTCATATGGTTCACTGATAAATCATACTAAATGCATTAGGTCCAACAATGACCACGGTTGTCGGCTTAAACCGCAAGTACACGGTCCCAGCCTTGCAGAAAGTTTTCGTCGCCACAAGCAAAACTCGGAGGGGCTGCGCGGCATGGGGTGCCCTTGAAAAAAAAAATCGGCAGCTTCCGAAGTGGTGCGGGTTTCGTGCTGACACCCACGGGCCGATGTGTGGTGTACTGGTGCTTTAACTCCAAATACTACCAGGGTAAGCATGAGAACCAGTTCAGGCCATTATTTTGTGTATCAGAGTGTCTAGGAAATTGGTTTCCCGAAATGTTCAGTGGGTGGTTAGTGAGTGGTTAGGGGGTGGTTAGGGGGTGGTTAGGGGGTGGTTTGTGGGTGGTCAGTGGGTGGTTAGGGGGTGGTTAGTGGGTGGCTACTGGGTGGTTGGTGGGTGGTTATGCGATGCCATTGCACCTCACCAATACCTTGACAATTTTTTTTTTCCGGGTGGCAGTGACGACCGTGTTCTGTTGGGCTGTTTCATCCTTGTATACGTCGACGACATCTTAGATTTTTCCAAGTCTGGAGTTCGGACGCGTTTTTTCAACCGACAATATACCGCACTTTGTGAGACCCTTCGCTGCGCCAAGCACAAGGCAAACCGTGAACCTCAAGTGCCCATTTGAGCGACAAGATAGAGTACTTGGGGTAATTTTGTCACAACACAAGGCATCAGTTCGCTCTCCGACAAGATTCAAATTGCCCAAGAGTGGCCTGAGCTTGTGAATATACCACAGAGGCCTGATCTTTCCTTGTATTCGCGGGTTCCAAAATCGCAGCAACTTTACCTCTATTGTAGAAAATGAAGCATGCTTGAGATGGATCAATCCAGCATGGAAACAGTGTTGCCTCCATAGTTAGCAACATGAGGCACAATAGAAATGTTACCTCTATGCCAGCAACGCCTTCACGAGCACTATCGGTTAACAGGGAACCCCACTTTCGGCCCCAAGTCAATTCTTCGCTGCAATCGTTTTGCGTGGGAGCCTCTATGGAAAAGGGTGATACGACCTGTGGAATTTCGTCCGGCAGACGCCTTTTTGGAACTAAAAGTTAATTGTTTGAGTGGTCTTCCTTTCCAGCAACTGTTTTTCATACAGCTTGAGAGAAGGTTAACGGAGACCCTAATTCTCAGACCACTTGCCATGTCCCCGTTAACCATTGTGGAGAGAAGGTTAAGTTAACCCCCTCCACCCTGAAAACTGCATTGGAGATCTTTTTTTTTTTTTTTGGCCTGTTTTGTTTTTGGTCAAGGTCTGTGTGTGCCAAGTTTGGTGTTTGTTGGGGACTTGGAGTTCACTGTTTTGGCCAGCCCTGAAAAATCCTGAAAATCCTGAAAACTGAAAAGAGTGAATTTTGCATGAAATTGCAGTTTTGCCTGGGGTTAAAGGCCCCTTTAATTCAGTTTTTTTCTTTTTTTTTTTGCTGTTGGGGGTGTCCACTGTGAAAGGGCCTTTTTCACCCAATGTAGGCCTCAGGCCTTGTAACTAAGCAACGTGGGCCATGTAAAAGTAAAGCAGCCTGAAAAGGTATCTCGCCAGGGCTCAGAAACGTGAAAAGCAGGTCAAGAGTCCAAGTTCTCTACCAACGGGCACATCCTGAAGCAAAGAGCATTGTCAAAAGACTTACCTGTTCGCCAGTAGTTGTGTAGGTCATGAATAAGGTGTGTCTGTACGAGCAGCCATTGTGCCTGTTCGTGTAAAGAAGAGAAGTTGTGTCTGTATATGCAATGATGATGTCTGTTCGTCTAGATGTGACTATTCAAAAGGAAGTCAACAGTTATGTCCCAGTTTTTGGTCTGAGTCATGGGGGCAGTCCAGATCCAGACTTCAAAATTCGTATCCAGGCCAAAGGGCCTCCACAGCAGTTGCTTTTCATTGGGAATGCTCTGGGACACATGCAATGCAGGGTCTGGGACAAGAGGACAGGCCGAATTGAGACAATGCAGACCCAACGGGGAGAGGCCAGCACTACTTAAGGAGCTGCCAGCCTCATTCCACGCAGATCTCCACTGGCATTCAATGCGTGGAAGTGCTGGTGCACTTGTGCGCTAGTCAGGCAGAAGCAGCGCTGGAAGAAGGAGATGCGCTGAGGGAAGAAGAAGGCTGGGCGCTGGAGGGAAGCAGCCATCGCTGCCCAGCAGATTAGTGTAGACTTAGCAGGGTTAGTGTAGATAGCTATGAGTGACATTCAGAGTAGATCCTCGTGAGAGAAGAGTGTGTATGCATCGTGAGAGGAAGGGACTGAGACAGAGAGAGTGTTCTTTCAAGGTCTGGTTATGGAGGACACTTACCTGAGCTAGAAGCAAGTGACGAAGGTGGCATTGATGTATCTGATGTGGGATTAGTATTGCGCTGAAGCGCGTTGACTCAGGGAACTGTGAACTCATTGTAATCATAATTTTTGATAATATAAGTGACGGGTCTTGGTCCTATTCTTATCTACCTTTGTCTCGTGTGTGGCAACTGTGTCCATTGAGTGTGAAGACGATGTTTGATGTATGCACATCTGCGTGAGTTGGTCCCCAGGACCCATGCAACTGTATGGAGTGGTGACAAGTCTGGCTTAAAAGTTAAAAGGTGTGGGACATTTGTTATAAATTATAATGACCTTGAAAAAATCCTGAAAATTTGGGCCTCCGTTAACCATCTCTCGTGTGTGTCTGTGTGTTGTTTTGAAGGACCCCAGATCCTCTCTCTCATTTCCTTCACAGATCATCACAAGCCGTCCATAACGAAAAAGTATAGATAGGCAATATAATCGAAAATGCAAGGTTGGCCACGTTTGTGTCGTTCAGCGCCAAGTGCCCACACACCCGTCTGCCGCCAAAGCGGCACGCTTGCATAAATACATATGTATACATATATATTTCAAACCATTAGGGGATGGAGGGCAGAAGGCAACTTACCTAAGACAGAAGACTACTCCAGCAAGCAGGCACCGGCCCGAACCCCTCAAAGGTCCGTGAAAACTTGGAGAGCCTTTCGCATCGGTCCACAAAACCAAAAACTCGTTTATAAAAAACAAACAAATATAACAGCATTGGCATTCCCGACATTCATCTCAAACTACACACTCGCGTCACTGCCAAAGAGGAGGAAGAAGATAAAAGACAACTTACCTAAGACAGAAGACTCCTCCAGATGCACTGACCCCCCCTGCTAAGTGTCTGAAAAAACTGGGAAAGCCTTCCAGGCCGGCCCACAAAACATACATTCCCCCCAAAGAGAACTCGTGGCCACCCGTAAACATCCAATCAGCCCATGCTCTAAAGCAGGGCAAAGAATTAGGCCGTGTATAATCAACAAAACCAACAAGACATATATGTGTGTTTGTGTGTGTGTGTGTGTGTGTGTGTGTGTGTGTGTGTGTGTGTGTGTGTGTG